TCTTCATGGTTCTCTCTGCGCTTTAAACAGAACCCTGAGACTATCAAAGAGCAGGTGCATTTATACAGAGTCTTGATTACACACAGGTGCATTCTATTTATCATCATCAGTCATTTAGGACAACATTGGATCATTCAAAGATCCTCACTGAACTTCTGGAGTGAGTTTGCTGCACTGAAAGTAAAGGGGCCGAATAATATTGCACGCCCCACTTTTCAGTTTATTTGTTAAAAAGGTTTAAATTATCCAATAAATTTCGTTCCACTTCACGATTGTGTCCCACTTGTTGATTCATGACAAAAAATTAAATTTATATATCTTTATTTTTGAAGCCTGAAATGTGGCGAAAGGTTCAAGGGGGAATACTTTCGCAAGGCACTGTATATAAATGAATCAATGACATATGACCTGTGTGACCATTTTCCATTTAAATGGACCACAAATGGGGACTGCCTCATAAGTTTGAGGCATTATTACAGACAAAATGAAACAAAGATTTCCCATTAATTAATTCTTCATTCATAAATGTGTTTTGTAACGTTGATAAGCTTTCAATCTCGCTTAGGCAGAAGTTTGTTCAAGCATGAAAACTTTCTTCGTGTCTTCCTCCCATGAGCTGCACCTGTGGCTCAAGCAGCAGCAGGGATTTTGACCGGATCTGTGCTTAAAACAGTCCTGACATGTCCACATCCCCAGGCCCATGTGGCGACCCAAGATTGATGGCCACTTAGCCTCAGTGTTGTGCAAAAGGTTAACGCTGGAGAACGTCAGGCTGCTGTAAATCAGTCTACCTCTCTATGTGCCATCATTTAATTACTCCCTTTTTTTGCTGCTCGAGTGACTACGCAATATTAATATTAATTTGATTCTTCTGTTGTCAATTGACATAAGATTTAAATTGTTTTATGTCAATTTTAACAGACCAGTCCTATTAAAGCATAATTTAGAAATGCATTTAAACATTAGGTTCAGGTGATCACCGAGTAGAGCTCCTTTTCTGGAACTGGAGTTTCCATTTACCCAAGCCATGCCAAAGTCCCCTAAAGTAATCTGTTTGGGCACCAGAACCAGTAGAAGCATGACTTATGCCTTAAGAATTATTTCAGTGGAAGTCACCACGTCTAAAAGTACGTTGTCACCTTGACCTCAGTTTTATTACCACTAACAATGTGTCTCTTCAAAAGTGAAAACCTGGGACACTTGTTCATATTTATCAGTTTTTGTTTTGTCCCATTTGTCTGGTTTAACCTGTTTCATCCTAGTCTGGCACACTCTCTCTGGCTTTGCCGTGCTCTCACAAACATCTGTTTTGTAGATACTGCCGATGGCCTGATTCATGGCTCTGTCACTGACACGACATCCCCGCTCTCCCAGTGTCCAGTCTCACAAGGCTTCATATTCGTAGCGTGAGCATTTGGATACAGTGACAGATCAACCACACACACGTTCTGTTACATCCAAAGAATGCCTTTTGAAAGAGGAAATGACTGGAGAGTTAAACATGCCATACTTACTATAAACACCGACTTGGGGCAATACAGGCTTTCATGACTTGAGTTGTATGCTCTTGACCCCATAGTGCCTCCCTATGATTGCCTGGTGAACTATACACTAATGTCCAATGATTTGCGAACAAAAGCATCACCTGCTGAAATGTTTCTTTTACCACTTATCCATCAACTCTGGCCTTAATGGTCCCCTCCCTTTTACTTTAGTAGTGTGACCACTAAATTCTTCCCTTTTTTCTTCTTGGGCATCTCTGTCTTCTCTTTTTCATCTCGCACATAGTTTCACTTTTTCTCTAAGCAGACTGCTTGTCCAGTGCGGCCATGCACGTTCAGTCTAATTACAGGTCAATTAAAGGCTTTCTGGCTCAGCTCTCCTTCTGCCAGTGCTTTGCTGTAGCAGGCTTAGCAGACTACAGAGACTCTGTCTTAAAGAGGGGATTGTGGAGGACAGGCCCCCTCATTCACTTTATGGGTCGATATCCCTCCACCCAGTGCAGGCTGCACAACAGCATCTTAAACAAGAGGCCGCTGGGATGGTGGCCAGAGGATTATGGGAATATTCATGACCAGATAAAGGAATGAACGGTTGAATGACTGTTTTGGGGCTCATCTCTTAGGTAAACAGGCTCCTAAATGGACTTTTAGTTTGCTGCTCTGTATGGAGTAGTCACTGTCCACTGTTGTTGCCACTATCTTTTAGTGGCAAACAGATGGTGATAACAGACAAATATCTTTCTTACAGTTTTCAGAATGTTGGAGTTCAAAAGCCATATTTCTCATTAATTCAGAGCCTTCCTGTGATCATAAAAGCTTAAAAAAGTTAAGGTCAAAATGTTAAGAATTTTTTTTCGGGGAAAATACTTCCCCAAATGCCTGTAGATCTAGAAGCTATAGAGACAATCTCATGTCTCAATAACGTGAGATTGTTCTGTCATTTTAATGTTTTTCTGCGACATAACTGGCTAGACATCCCTTGAAAAAGTCAATTTTAATGGAAATGGAATTGTCTGGGTTTAAGTAATAATTTATGTTCTGTGAAAAGTGTGTGTGTGTAGAAGCTTTCAAAGGTTTTATTTTTATGAATACCGCACTGTGAGGTGAAAGTGAAACCAAATCATTCAATACTATGAATACAAGCAAAATGCATCATCTGCATTTTGTGTTTTGTACCTGTAATATAGATTTTTTATAAATTGGTCCATTTTGAGGCTTATTGCTGCTACCCACTCTCGTTAGTGACATTTCTTACTACTTGGCATTGAGTGTATGCGGCATACTTTTAACAAGCTCAAAGGGGAAGACCATCAGCCACATTTAAACCTGCTTTATCCTTGAAGCCCAATGTCGGGGATTTCCCACATTTACAACCCTGACAGTAGGTCCCTGCTGTACTATTACACGCTCACACACTCTCTCTCTCTCTCACACACACACACACACACACACACACACACACACACACACACACACACACACACACACACACACACACACACACACACACACACACACACACACACACACACACACACACACACACACACACACACACACACACGATGACTCTAATCCCTTTGCTTTTGGCCGTAGCTGTCTGGGGTCGGCCTGTGGTGGCAGCACAGGCCTCCGCAGATGCACTCGTCCCTTTGAGCCGTGCCCTGCGGTGGGCTGAGCTGGAATGGTGTAGTGTGGAGTTATGTTTCATTCAGCCTCACACCTGCTGCACAGAGTTGTCAGCGTGCCCCTGACAGGCCCCCTTAATGCCTCCATTAGGTGTTGTAATCTTCTCCCGTATGCCTTGCCATTTTGTTAACAGAGTATCAAAGGATTTCTTTCTCCCCCATGACATTAATGATAACTTGTGTCGAGGCATTCTCCTCTTTATATAGATTTTTACCTGACTTTTACATCCGCATTTAATTGCCGTGCATAGAGATACAAGCCAATTTTAAGATTTAGATTCAACATTTACATTAAAGTTGGAGTAACTCATTTTGAAACCACATAAAAGGTATGTAATAAAATCCAGGAAATTAGTTCCTCACTCTCAAAACTGTTGGGACCTATCATTAGTTTTCACATGCATGGGCGGCACGATATCAGAGTGGTTGGCGCTGGGTTCGAATCCTGGTCAGAACGGGGTCTTTTTTAGTGGAGTTTGCATGTTCTCCCCTTGTCTGCTTAGGTTTCTTCTGGATGCTCTGGTTTCCCCTACTAAAAACATATACAATCGGTAAAAGGCTCCGGCTGCGGTCCTGACCAAGCCGAGCATCAACTTCTGGAGATGGGTTTGCTGTATTATATACCTCTATATCGCATCTTTAGATCTGTGAAAAAGAGAGTACACTAAGCTGTATAAAATGTCTAAGATAAAGAGGGCATGATTGGTCCACAAAAATAATAAAATAAAGTTAAGTGCTTTAAGTCCCTTGATGAGTAACAATTGGTTAGATTCAACCATTTTAGGAGAAAAAGTATATTATTAGATATCCTCCTGCGTTTCAAAATATCCGTTTGAAAATCCATCCTTGTCATTCCCCATCTTTGGACTTAAGTTTCACTACACGTCTGCCTACATCAATCCCTTTTGGTTTTCATCCATCAGGAAAAGGATACCTCTGGCCCATGCCCCCATCAAAGCCGCACGTCTTGAACCCCTGCATGACATATTTAGTTCCCCTCCAAGCACTCCTGCACTTCTCACCTTTATGCCTATCTGAAGTGGACACTGGACACTCAATACATTGTTGCCCTGAGCTCCACAGATCATTCATCTCCTTTGCCTTTTTTTTATCATGGCCTTCTTGTAGGAAAACAATGGGCTGCCTATGGATCTCGTGTGGTCGCTTGATCAACAGGCCACGCTGCTAGTTTGTTCTGCAGTGCCCGTGTTTGAGTTTGTGCTTGTGGAAGATCCAAGCAGATTAGTGCAGTTGACGACGAAGCTGCGGATTCAGCCCAGTCTGAAGCTTGCAGCTGGTATTGGGAATCCTCGCTTCCTTTTTTGGCCCGCGACTTCTCTCAGCCACTGTTTATCCAGCGATTTAAGACGGCTTTAGAAGGCTTGTGCATCTCGTGTGACAGTACAAGTCTGGTGGAATAGGCCACTCTTCACCCGGTACCAGGACAACCGCGGCATAATGCTGAAAGGAAGTGACCGTTTTTCCAGTACATTTTCTTTCATGTGCGATGTTGTTATGGTATCTCCCTGTGTCCATTAGCTAATGTGCCCGTGAGCCATGGAAAAGAGCGGCCGGGATCTTTTTTGATGTGGTCTGGGCAAACCGAGAGAGCCTTCATCTTCAAATGTGTGTGGCGGGTTCGCTGTCACTGTCAGTGCGTGTAGACCATCTGGTGTTTTGCTGTGAAAGAATTTCTACCCAACAATAACTCAACAATTCAAAGTCTCCTAAACTTTGTATCAGGCCATTTTTTGAAGCACACAGATGACAAAGGAAATTTACGACTCAAAATGTTTGTGTTTTCTTGCAGAAAAGGTTCGAGAGATCCAGGAGAAACTAGAAGCTTTCATCGAAGCCCTTCACAAAGAAAAATAATAAGCAAGGAAACAGGTAGCTAACGTATGAACAGAGGAAGTAATTCAATTCTCAAACATTTGTCATATTCTTTATTTTGTCACCTCATTTTAAAGGTACATCTGGAGTTCCCCACACAATGCACTGAGCGAAGAAGACTGCTGTAAATGACATTCGCCTGCGTCTAGTGCCCATCTCTCTTCTGGTTTTAACCCCATCTTCTGAGTCTGAATTTCTGTCTAAACAAGGATTTGAGCACAGAAGCCCAAATACTGTCACCTGGTCATTTGAATAAACACAGACTGACGTGTTCAATGTAGTACTTATGTCCAAGTATGTGTTTCCCATCATACATCTCACCAAGGGTTTGCACTGGTCTTTGTGAAATGGCGTTCAATTTCATTACAGCAGCTGTCCAAGTTAATTCAGCGATACCAGAGCACTTGGGTTTGACTTATTGTGTGCCATTGGGTAAAAATTGTCCTGTTAAACCGTATGCACTTTGCTTTTTCATTCATCATCCTGTTTCCTTTATTGTTTTAATGACTCCTAAAAGTGCTCTATCTAACTTTTCATGTTGAGTGGTGCATCCTGTGTCTCTTGGTTTGGTTCCAGTTGATTTTTTTTTTTTTGCATCTTTAATTGGTTGCCACACTATCTTGTAACGTTTAAGAAAAAGCAGTAACATCTCCATAGAAACGGGCTGTTGCCAAACCTTCAAACAGAAAAGTTACATAGAGCAGCAATCCTTATGTCATGGATGTAGTGAAAGGAACGAGCTAAATGTTATTGCTGTGTAATGTAAATAGGCCACAACCTGTTAAATATAAAAACAATGCTGTAGAAATACGTCGTTCTATTTCCACCGTGATGAGTCTTGTATTCCACTCTTCTTGGGTGGTTTCCTTTTTGCTCCTCATTGAAAAAGCAGGACTAAGACGTGCTTAGAAGACTGAATGTGCTGAATGCTATTGTGCAGTCGCTACGTTCATCTGCGCCAGAGGTGTGCAGGTTCCCCGCTTTCATCCACCCACATCACACATAAACCCTCTCTGTACTTACTTTGTACCTCGCCCTCTCAAATGTCCAATACACACATTTGACCTTTCTCTTCTGTTCTTGAAAAGTCCATGTGATTGAACAAGGTGGATTCTGTATAATCCATGTGTAGAATATAAAGTCTATGTACTGTGCACTTTGTACAGATATTGAAGTAATTGCCATAGTATCATGTACAGCAGTGTCCACCACTTGTAACAAAACCCAAGTGAACATGGCTTGAAATGTCTTGTTTTAGGATGTAAAAAATGTTTGCATGTTGCCCCCCAACAAATATGCTTTATTTATTAAATTGTGTTAAAAATAAAATAAATGACATTTTCTTAATGGTAATGTTTGTCATTGTCAGAATTGCTCCAACAGACAGTCTGCGGGACTTTGGGTCGCATGCTCACAGCTGGACTTATCGGTACATGGTAATGACGCTTGTATAGTAATGTAGTTACTTTTAAATATACGCGAAGATGATTGACACATTGTACATTGCATGGGTGAAATAATAAAAGTTGTGCGTGGAATGATATTCCTCATAACTAGAACATCTGATTGGTTTTAACATTTCTGAAATATATCTTTCTGTTCGAGGAATGCTATAAAGATAATATGGTAAACCATGAGTTGTTTTGAAGACCTCCAAAGCTGTAATGATGTTATTGACATTTAAATCTGGTGTGATATAAGGATAGAAGCTGGGGAAGTAAGTTAAATGTATTAAAATGCCATATTTAACGTATTTTTTGATGTGTTGAGTTAGTTCAGGTCAAGTCGCAGCACTGTATTCTGAATACTTCCTCATTTGAGTGATATTATAAACAACTATCAACTAAAGCTTTTTGCAGTCTTTGATCAAAATACAACTGTATATTCCTTAAGAATTTTGTAAAGTACAGAAGTGAAGAAGACAGAAGTGAGACATTCAGTATGTGCCATCTGCCCCCCCGACCACCACCAACCATTCGCGCACACACCACTAATGCTTGGCAATGTGGGTGAAGTGACTTGCTTATGGACACACCAGCAGGCACTATACAGCCACAGTCGCCCCACTGCGGCACCTGGTGTTCCCAGAGGTCTCCCATCACAGTACTAACCAGGCCCTGTCCTTTCTAGCTCCAGAGATCTGACAGGATCTAGCTTTCACACACAGGTGGTTTACATGTTCCCAGCCCCAGTGTATTCTGTTAGTCCCAACATGGGTAACATGGCTGGACTTTCACTTTCATCAGCTGTAAATCAGACTCCTTCACTCCTGATCGTTCTCTTCGAGCCGTGTTCCTCCAACCAGGCTCACATCCACCTGAGCTCTTCACACTTGGGTAACTAGTGAAAGCTATTAGACCTCCCTGTTTGGTTAAAAACAAGTCTGGGTAAAAGTCCCTAATGACTTTGTAGTGCCTATGAATAGAAAGGAGAAAAGTCAACCTCCAGCAGAAGGCCTTTGTGCTATCAGATTGCCACGTTCAGGGAGGAGGGAGACACACTATACGCCATTAGCATCTGCAAAGGCCGTCACGTTGACTAATAGCCAGCACCACAACGGCACAGTGACTCAGTTTGTGTTTTCCCTCTATTCCCATTATACTGATGACACAAAGGCGGCCCGGACAGACCTGTCAAATGTGCCACAGCAGCCGACGTGCACAAAGCCTCATTTCTCCTCTTTCTTCATAAAAAAAAAGCCTGATCCTGTTGCTTCATTTTTTCTAAATCCCCCACCTCATCAGTCGCACACATAGAGGGTGTGTCCGGACGGTGTATGATAAAAACATTGAAATGGAGAAGGAAAAGGGAAATAAATTGTGGGGATGGGCGTGTGATTTGGCAGAGGCAGCAGTGTTACTTCTTGTTCTCCGTCTTGTCGCCGGCTCTGCTTTTGTTGTTATGCTTGTTGAGGTTGTGAGTAAGGCCACCATTGTCTGAACATGACAATATTAGTGCTGCAGGATTTTGGAAGAATGCTATTTTTCAGATAACAGTGACATTTGATTTGCGATTGAAATTGAAGGAGAGACTAAAAACTAAAAACTCCCACTGTGCTTAAAACTGTTTAGATTGTCTGTCTGTACGGTAAGAGAGACCATGCAAACACACAGAACATCCCCGTCTGGACATGGTATTTAATCCAGGATCTTATCACTGTTCCACCGTAATAATATTGACTTCATGAGGAATTACAATTTCAAGTGTTTGTAATTTCTTTGCAGCATTTATTTATATATATTTTAAACAGCCGCACTGAGAGCAAGTGCAGACAAGTGAAGTGGATGTAAATCTAACACTTCTGCCCTCAAACACACACAGGAGTCGTCCAGTCACAGCGGATGAATCTTATCGCAGGCTTGTTGCTGCAACAGGCATCCTTCTCTGTTTCGTCCGACAAGTCCTGCACTGTCCTCGAGGCCCTCTGCCTTTTGGCCCTCAGAGAATAGCGTCACAATTGGCCTTTGTGTTCATTATGTTTGAGGCATCTTCCCATTGCGCTGTGGGGTCCATTCCAGCAGAATTGGGCCCATGGGGATTTTAGCTAAGTCACCCAGGTCACTGACCCTTCTTGTCACAGGCCCAACACACAAATGTAGCGTGCCTATCGCTGCTATAAATTATGACAGTTCTTAAATTTAAGAAACTGAAAGCAGCTTGAGTGCAGATGCTCCGGTGGTCCTGGGTGTGTGTGTGACTCAGCTCCCACAGAGGTGACAGGGCAAAGGACCACTGCATGTTCTCACCCTTTAGAACGACGTCCATTTGTGCAGAATCCATAAAATGACCTCACTGTCTTACTGCACGCCTTAATGAATCAGACCATTGTGCACGCTATCGTCCGCCATCAATAACACTGACGCAGGATCTATATTCTCATGTTTAAGTGTGTGGATGTGTTAGGATTTAGCAGACAGAGACGGATCGTGGTGTGCCAAACTCTGGAAGTTTATTTAAGTTGCTCTCAAGTTCCACTGTTTTACTCTGTTTCTTTTCCTCAGACAGAATAAAGGCAGTACACAGTTTATATAGTCATTGTCACGTCACACATCGAAAGACATACATGTCACAAAGAGACAGTCACATCATAGTCATAACATGGAGTCCTTGTAGAGTCCTTGTACAGTCCTGCACGTAGGCCATATTGCTATCTAATACTAATACCCTCCCCTTTGATCACATAATCACATGTGATCACTCAAATCAATCAATCAATAAAATGGAAAAAGAAAAAAAAAAAAATTCCAAAAAAAAACTTCAAAAAATTATTAAAAACAAAGAAAATGTATGCATTAAACTCATAATCATCAAATCAATATCAGTGGATTTTATCCTCTATCCTGGGAAAAAACAAACAAACAAAAACAAACAAAAACAAATCAAAAATAAAAAACAAACAAAAATAAAAACAAACAAACACTATTGGACACACAAGAACTCAGCAGATTCAGTCAAAACACAGACAAAAACGAGCTGAGTCTCAAATTAGAAGCTAATTTCACTTTTATTACTCTATACTTTTATTCTAATGCTAATTGTTTACACTTCACTTATTTCACTGTATTATTTTCACTTTTTAATCTTAGACTGTGTACTTTACTTTCATGATTCACTATAGTTTAAAACTATTCTAATCTATTTACAAATATGTTTGTATATTTGCTTCTATTGATCCATATTCTTAAACATACATTTTAATCTAATAAATCTCTCTTTAGTTTACTTTCATTATCAGTGGCTTATTGTCAGTTGGATTTTGCTCCATGTCTATTCTCATTCTCAGGAATAAAACTGTGAACACAGTAAGGCAAATGGTCAACATTTACACTTCTATAGTGGTCAGTGATTTATTACTTTTTATTATCTAAAGATATTATTGTCAGGCATTTGGGATGAATGTACATCATTAATCAAATTAGTATTATCCTAATAGTAGCTAATTAGGTTTGGGGTTGGGGTCAGTTATTCTACAATGGTATTTGTGCTGGAAACTTCTCAATATCTAAATATCTACTATTGTGTTTTTTGTGCTACACCCAAATACATCAAAATGCTTTTAAATGCTTTTGAATCTCTGTTGGTGCTAATCTATCTCATTGATCTAGGCATTAATCTAGGCTACACTCATATGG